CATGGAGTTATCTTCCCTCTGACAATGTATCAAGAAGTGGAGCTCTCTTCATCAACAAAGTCAAAGAATTTATCCAAGATAAAAATAATAAGTACGTGGAAATATCCGTTTTACGGAACCAAATATTGTGCTAAAAAACTGTGCCACGCTTTTTAGATTTTTTTTTTAGCTAGCGTAGGGAAGACGTGTTTAGTTAAAAAACTTTTTAGAATTTAATATCAGTATAGATTATTTTTAGAAACTAGAATAGTTAAACTTTATTACTGTGAGGTTTATTATTTTACTAGATGGCTTTTTTATTGAGTTTTTTGATGTCTAAAACTTTGTTGTACTTTGGGCATGAAATTAATGTCGAAGATATGCTCATTTTTTTTCTATACTATTCTTTTTTTTAAGTTTTTCATTTATCTATGCACCTGGAAAATTTCATTGAAAAAAAAGTTGTAGCAGGGTGTCTATTTTTTGTCGCACTTTTGGTACCTAATTTTCACTTTGCTGAAGTGGTCGCGGGAGACAGAGGGGTTAAATAAACATTGTTTATATTTGATTTTGATTAAATAAAATTTTCAGTTTTTTTTTTAGATTAAATAAAATGGAAAGTAGAGATATTGATAAAAGTTTTTAATATTGTTTCCTATTTATTAAATTATTTATAAATTATTTGCCTTCAATGTAAAGTTGTAATGTTTCCTACTTTAAAGTTGAATTTTTTAAAAATGTAACTGACATATTTGTAATATTATAACATATTTTATCATACATTGTAAGTCTCTTCAATAACAATTGCAATATGCTACTACTTGTTGTATCATGCATCTTTTTCTAAAAAAGTCTAGGTAAAAACTAGACTTTTTTTTTAATGATTAACTGTTAATATTTCAACTGTAATAAATAATATTTATATTATTTATTACAGTTGATACAGATATAATATGGTCATATATAACTAATATATGTTAGCAACCTTATTCAACTTTTATGTATAATATATATATATATATACATATATATATATATATATATATATATATATATATATATATATATATATATATATATATATATATATATATATATATATATATACTGATATATATCAGTTAGTTATTTTACACATTCAATATTCATTAGTTTTTTTTAACTTAAGATCAATAGATTTCGTCTAAACAAATGTTTTTATTATTTTGTTAAAAAAAGTTTTTCATTTGTTTTTAAGATGATACTTTTGAGAGGTTAAGTCAGTTTTTTTTTGCGATTTATTATTTTAGTATTTAGTCTTTTACTCTCAATATTCAATTATATATCTTTATTATGCTATGTTTTTTGTGCAGATTTTTGAGCATCCACAAATTTTTTTTAAAGTTGTTTATTTATATATTCCTGATTGTTTCATGCTTTTTATTGAATCATTGTTATTTTTTTTCTACAGGCAATTTAGAACAAATTATAAGTAAGTAAAGTTTGAAATATTTTAGTTATTTAGTCATTTAAACTTTTTTTTTTTGTAATGTTAGTGTTATAAATTAATCTTATAATAAAGTAAGTAATTTAAAGTTGGCTTTTAGGTGAATTTAGACAACAGATTTGTAATTTTAGTAAATTTTAATAATTTTAATAGTATAGTTTAATGATACATGCTAACTAAAGATTATTACTTAATTGATACACAAGCTAAAGGTGTTTAATTTATTGATACACACTAACTAAAGATGTTGTAGCAAAATTTGTAACTTGAAATTAAGTTTGATTTAGTAAACATTATATTACTATTGTTATTACTTATTTCTTTTTAACTCTTTAGCAACACTTACTTCATTAATTGGTAAAAGATTAATGTGTATTTTTATGTGTATGTATTGAGAAATATAGTCTGATTTTGTGGATTATGCAGTATTATACTATTTAATATGTACTATGTTATTGTATATTTAATATGCGCTATATATGTATATTTAATATGTAATATTTACATGTACCATTTAATCTTTTGTGTCATTGTATTATTTAATCTTTAATATCCTTGTCATCTGTTGCAGCTGGTAAGGTTTCTATATTATTAATTTGAGAGATAAAGTAATTAAATGCAAGTTCATGTAACGTGTATAAATAGAGTTAGCAATCGATTGCATCAGGCTAAAATTAGAGCCAATATTTCCCAAAGACAGGCATCCAAGTGCCAAAAAATCGATGAAACAGAAAAAAGTTAGAGCAAAAAAAGTTAGAGCGTTAGCTATCCAAATTGAGTTATGATGAAATTATAGGTTCATACAAAAATTTGTCTATGACCAACTTTATAATTTTGAAGATATCATGTATTGAAGAATTGTAGGCGAAAAACTATATCATGAATGATATGATCCTAAACATCCAAGCCTGTTTTGTATAATGGCAGAGTAGAAAAAGTATTTAGTTAAAAAAATGACTTAGTTTACACTATTTCTTACTGGAAAGATGATGAAACGTACATGGAAGGTGTTGACCATTGCATGAAAAAGATCCAGCTTGTTGCAGATGTTATTTCAGAAGAGTTACAATTTTATTAATTTTATATTATATTAATAAAACACTGTGAAAGTACAAGTTTGAAATTTAAGCTAAAAAAGTACTACAAATGAATTGCTGAAAAATACTACCAGTGTTGTGACTAGCCAAAAGAAATTTATTATTGTAATCATTCACTAAAAGCCAAGACAAAACTATATGAGATAAAAAATAAACAAACCATTATTATTTCTTTTTAATAACATTTTATTTGTTTTTTAGTTTGAAACAGCCAAAGTGCTATTTGAAAAATTTAAAAATTATTAAAGGTTGGTTAATTAAATGGATATCAAAGCTGTAGAACATTGCATGAAAAAGTTTCAGCTTGTTGCAGATATTGTTTCCAGAGAGTTGACTAGATATTATTTTGTTAAAACACTGCAAATATATAAATTTGAAATTTATAGATTAAAAAACTGCAAGTACTGTGACTTGTTTTAAAAAATAAGTACTGCTAGTGTTGTGACTTGCTAAAAAAGAGTACTGCAAGTGTTGTGATTTGCTAAACAAAAGTACTTTAAGTGTTGTGACTTGCTAAAAAAAAGTACTGCATGTGCTGTGACTTGCTAAAAATAGTACTGCAAGTGATGTGACTTGCTAAACAAAAGTACTGCAAGTTTTGAAACTTGCTATGTATTTTTGATAGACAGCTCTGGCTTACCTTCACGCAGTGTCTATTGTTAAAAATGATTATAATATAATTTCATAAGTATAATTTATCATTGTAATCATTCACTAAAAGCTAAGAAAAAACTTTATGAAATAAAGCATCATTAAAATAATCAAACATTATTTAGTGTTAATAACATTTTATTTATTTTTTAGTTTGAAACAGCCTAACTAAGGTTGGTAAATACCTTGTTTTGATTACCTTTTTACCACTATTGACTGATAATAGAAGTCACTCTGAATGAGAATATTTTAACCAAAAATTCTCCAATTAATCAAAAATGCTTTTTTTTTTAAAAAATGTAACTTTCACTGGGTAAGATATATTTTTTACTTCTTTGTTGTTGTTCTTTAAATAACCAATCAAATATTTCATAATTAAAATTTTTTTGCAATATTAGGGTGTGTTAAAACTTGGTCAACACATTTAACATGAGTTTTACACTTACCTTCAATGTTTGGTGGTTGTCCAGTATTAATTTATAGAAGCTTTTTACAGAAAAAAACTTTTAATTTATAGAACCCTTTTACAGAAAAAAACTTTGTTTTGGGACTTTAGAAAACATAGTTGTGTCATTTTAATTTTTTTGAATTTTTTTTTTTTAGGTTGGAGGGGGGGGGGGGGGGGAAGGGAGAGTTATTCGTCCCTCCCATACATCGATGTAAACACGACTTAAATTCATAATAGTACCACCACGTAAATTCTTGTAGAACATAATTTTATATTGTATACTAATTGAATTCATTTTAGTAAAAATAAAAATATTTATGAAAACAAGTCTTTTTTGATACTAGGGTGTATCAAACCATCACCACCACACCTACCTCCAACGTTAACATATGCCTACAAAAATTTGTAGCCCACTCTTACACCTATCTTTTGACCAAGGTATTTGTATTTCGATAAGAATTAATAAAGTTATGACAATTTAACTGAAGAAAAACATAATTATGACCACAGTTTCTTCAACAATTCCATATATCAAAAAATCGGTACTTAAACTGTCATAACTTTTGAACCAATTGTTTGTTTTTGATAATTTTTCACCTCTAAAACACTGTATTGGTCCTCTTTATAATGATATATAACAGTAGAATATTTAAACAATTTGAAATTTTTACTCACGTACCTATTGAAGTTAATAACTTAAGTTACTCCTCAAAAATTTTGTGTTTTACATTTATAAATCATAAAACTAAATATATAAATGCCTTAAAAAGTCCCTTTTTGTAATAAAATCAACAGATTATCTTAAGAATATGATATCAATTAAATCATGGAGTTATCTTCACTCTGACAGTGTATCAAAAAAAAAAGAAGTGGAGCTCTCTTCATCAACAAAGTCAAAAAATTTATCCAAGATAAAAATAATAAGTAAAGCTTCTGCTTTTTTATTTGTCTTAAGAATTTTTTTTCATGTAGTTTTGACCTTATCCTTTATACCTGTAAAATTTAAGTTGTTTTTGCCTGTTATATGTATATATATATATATATATATATATATATATATATATATATATATATATATATATATATATATATATATATATATATATATATATATATTTATATTTATATATATATATATATATATATATATATATATATTTATATATATATATATATATATATTTATATATATATATATATATATATATATATATATATATATATATATATATATATATATATATATATAAATATATATATATATATATATATATATATATAAAATTTATATAAAATTTTGATAAATAAACTTAAATATAAAAATTTATTAAATACTTACTGCATTTATATTAAAATTTTCATCAAGAATCTCAAGATAATATTTAGAGAACAGTCATTGATTTCGAAATAAATTACTGATTTATGAAATTCCAGAATTTAATAAGAATATGAAAATTTATAAAACTTTTAGTGCAAATTTTACTATACGACCATTCAAAACATAGATTGTTTCATGTAAGTCCGAATTTTATTTAAGTCCGAGTAAAACTACGAATTCGGTGTATCCACAACCCGACGGGCATTTGTTTTTAAAAGTTACGTTCTAAATGTGTTTTAAACGTCTTTTAAACGTCTTTTAAACATTAATGTTTAAAAGACGTTTAAAAGACATTTAAAATACATTTAGATTGTAACTTTTAAAAACAAATGCCCGTCGGGAACCGTTAGAAATTAATGACAGATCGAATGATCATGATCTACGGATCATGGATTAAAACAAACAATCGGGCTAATATATGGAATAATATAAACTCATGCTTTTTAAAGGTAAATAATTAATAGCTACAATTTATAGCAATAGTTCTTTTTTTTTCATTAATTGGCACTCTCAAAATTAATACTTAGTTTTGATTTAACATCTAATTTATAAATGTGTAAGTTTAATTTTTGAAAACATTTGAGTATAGTTGATAAACATTAATTATACTTAAATATTTTCAAAATACTTTAGTTTTTGCAAATATAATTGATAGTCCTTCAGTTAAGCGGCGTAGAATAAAATTATTTATTTGCTTTTTTGCGATCGTCACAAAATCGTCTGAACAAAGGTTACATCTCTAATGAGAGACGACTGAATAAGTGTAAATTTCATAAGTGCGACTTAGTTGCAAGAACTGGCATAAATGCAAACTAGCATAAGCGCGCTAAAAAAATTAGCAAACATTGGCATAAGTGCGAACTGGCAAAAATAAATGTGAAGCAGTTGCAAAAACTGGCATAAGTGCGAATTTTTTCTCAAACTAGTCTTACACATTATTTCAAAGCCTCTCTGTACTGTTATAAATAACTCATTTAAAAGTGGTATTTTCCCAGATATTTTTAAATTTGCCAAAATTATTCCAATATTTAAAAAAGGCTCTCTTCTAGATTTCACCAATTACCAACCCATCTCTCTCCTTTCAATATAGGTAAATTCTTTGAAAAATCAATGCATAATAAAGCTATATGCTTTTCTTGAAAATATTAAATGCTTTTACACCCATCAGTATGGATTTCATGCCAGTCACTCCACAACTCATGCTCTCATTGAAATGGCTGAACTTATTAGAAAAGCACTTGATGATAAATATTTTGCATGTGGTGTATTTGTTGATTTACATAAAGTGTTTGACACAGTGGATCATTCAATTTTACAAAATTCGTTTTTACAAAATAAAGAAAGAAAAGCCCTTAACATAGCAATTATCCATACATCCGAATCAAAAACTTACAAGAGATATGTAGATGATTGTCATGCTCGCTTTGCTTCAATGAAACAACAACAAATGTTCCTGAACATCCTTAATGAACAACGTCCTGCCATAAAATACACAGTGGAACTTGAAAATGACTTCAAAAAATTCAACTTCCTAGATATAATTATTACAAACACAGGCTCTGGAACTTTTGAATTTCAAATACATAGAAAAGAAACTATTACAAATGTTCAAATTTAACCTAACTCGAACATTAATCCTAACATCATTATTGGCGTTTTCAAAGGATTTTTATGTCGTGCTGAAAGAATATACTCTCAAAAACACCTTCAAAAAGAAATTGACTTTCTAATAGACATCTTTGTTGAAAATGGCCACAATATCGAACATTCTAAATAATATTACTATAGACTATTTAAAAAACGGTTCAAAAAACACCACATTTCAACCATAAGATATCCAACCCTTTATAAAACTACCTTGGATACCAACTGTTGGTCCACAACTTCCTGAAGAATTTCGAGAGCAAAACATAAAGGTTATTTTCACATTAACTCCCAATTTAAAAAATATTTTTTGCAGCAATAAAACTAAACTACCACTAAACACAGACCCTGGCGTATACCAGCTAAAATGCTGATGCGGTTCGATATATATTGGCGAAACTAAAAAGAAGGTGATATCGAGATGTATTGAACACCAAAATAACAGCTTAAAAGGAAAATAGTCCAGTTCAGGCACAACTGAACATTCTAAAACATGCCATGGTAAGTTTGATTGGTTATACCCCAAAACATTATCTGTAGCCCCAGAATATCGAACTCGGAAAATCAAAGAGTCACTCGAAATAAGCTAGGCTAGGGTTCAACAGAAGTTGAGAAATGGTGACGTGGTTCTCAATTGGGATGACGGTGATAACGTAACAACCAAAACCTGGGGCCATTTTTTAATAAAATCTGCTGACGTCAGTTGTTTGAAATCTTTTTTCTGTATTATATTTTCGTTGATCTATTGTGATCAGCGTCATCAGGTATAATAAATATTTTATTTATTATACCTGATGACGCTGATCACAATAGATCAGCGAAATATCGAAATAATTATTTACTAAAGAAAAAATATATATATTAAAAAAAAAGTTTATACAGCCGTATTTATTGAATTCTAACCATATTTTAAGGTATAACAAGAAAATGACATTCAAAGAGTATAGTAGTTTTAACTCGATTGTTAACAAAAAGTTCTTTAAAATTGTTGGTGTTTAAAAATAGCTTGGGCCAGGGTCTTTTTAGCATATACTGGAACTTCAACTATTTTATAGACCTCACAATGAAAGTTACACCAAGTTTGATGTTGTAATAACATTTTTGAATGTCTTTCCACCAAAGAGTACATTGAACTCTATTTTATATATGTCAGAGTCATAGAAAAAATTTTCAATATCAATAATATTGATATATTATAGTTTTGTATTGTATTCAATATATATTATATTTGCATTATACAAGATTGTAAAATTACTCTGAGAAAAGTATACAATATTCTGACTTTTTCACATTTTTCTTGCTTTCGGCTCTACTTTGGTTTTTAGCCCGAATGAAGTTATGTCTCTTTACCCGTCCATAAATCTTTTTAGAAGCTTCAGATGTAAGTTTTACAGCTTATTCCACCGACTGAGAATTGTTTGCCAAATCAGTTAGAGAAAGTTTATTGCCTGTTTGAATAGCTTGTTTTGATTCGTTTGAACAAACAAAAATTGAAGTGGGAGGTTCAATTTGTATTGAAGAAACTTCAATTAAGACGGTCATCAGCATTGAAGTTCAAGGTCATCAACATTAAAGTTCAAGGTCATAATTGTCTTAGCTTTGATTTTAGGTTTAAAATCTGGATTTGTTTCCCTAGATAACCTAATCTCCAAGATTTGATTGAGAGCACGATCTCTTACAACTTTTTCATTGTCTAGTAGCATAGCGTAAAAAAATTTTCTTGACAGCAGCAATAGGAGTTACCCTGAAGATTTTTCAATACAATCTTTTCAATTCTGTCATCCTATTTTTTGACTAACTGTATTTTTTTTATGGAGGAGCTTTGGTTCATCTTTGTAATGTGCTAAACTTTTTAAAGCAAACCACATTGGACAGTAGACTTGAACTATGTACTTTGTGATACAGTTTAGATCATGTGTAGGTATTTCAGTTCTTGCATAAACCATCATAATTCTTAAAGCAAGGGTTAGCCAGCGTGCATGACAGATAGGACCAGGTTTCTTATTAGCATACTTGACAGAAATGGAACCTTTAGCTATTCCAATACAATACTCGTAAACTTTACGCTGGTCTGTACTCAGATTGCAAACAATGTTGTGATTTACATAATCTATCTCGGAATCTATAGGAATAAACTTAACTAAAGGTTGTTCATGCATGAATATATTAGACGTTTGTATACCAATAGGGCCTTTATATTTTTTAGGATCATTAGTTTGTCCATCTGTTTCAGATATAACATGACAAAGAGGTAGCTCACCCTGGTGAAGCAAACATCCAACTAAATGAATGCTACAATTCAAAAGCTTTTCTCATTTGACATCTAAACCATTATTTACGCCAGTGTTAGAACTTGTATTGTCAAGAACAATCGCTTCTAAGCTTTGAATACTATCATATTCAGAAAGCACATTTAATGTTGCGAAAGCCATAGTACTACCTTTACCATTTTCTATTATCAAATGTCTTAGATAATTTCCAGAATAAGGATCATTTTCACAAGTAAAAGTGAGGTGATGTTCATCATTGGTGGTTCGATAAAAGAAAATGTCCCCATTACTTTTGTATTTCATCACATGAACTAATGAATTTTTATCTTTCTTCCAATCAACACCAA